ATTCAAAGAACATGTAACCGTCTACAGCTGTGTGTAGTTCACACTGCCTACCACTAGGTGCTAGTAGAGTTTAAGGCAATGGAGTGAGTATGCAGAGGATGTAAATCAGAGATCAGAGCTCTAACTGACGCGGTGTTCTTTACTTCAGTCTTACAGTCATTTTCTTATCTCCATCTTTTCATCGGGTTCTTGGAAGCATCACATTTTCCAAATGCAGAGTAAGACCCCAAATCTCCTTAAAATGTCAGCCGACGAGACGTGCCTCGATTTCCGTGGACTGAAAAATGATAAAATAGGATACCGGCCTATTATGAAAGCCCACACTTTTGACTCGGCTCAGGTTAGGAAGTGGGTGAGGTCAGCCCACGCAGGGAGACTTTCACTTAACTTCTGTGCACTTTATTTCCACTTGCTTCCAGAGAAAAGAGCTTTGATATTGACCAGAACACAAATGCAATTTAACAGGGTTAATGGAAATGTGGAGGAGACGATGCATTTCATGTTTACCAATCGCCTGAATCACTTTGCATTTTCTTTTTTTTGTTGTTTGCGTACAGGCATCATATATATTAGCTTATTTCTTTAACACAAAAGGAAATTAAATGATTCATGTTCTGGGATGAAGGCCCCGCCAGTCAAGAGCAGACTTCCATTTCCGGTTGCCATACTCTAACAGTGTGTGCACCAATCAGAAAAGCGAGGCTAAAACAACACCACAAAAAAAAATCCCCAAAAAAACATCAACAAAAAAAACACCATTTCAGTTTATCTTGATGTTTCACGCCTTTTGAATAATTGATTTGCCTTTCATTTTCAAAAAAACGACAGCAGACTTGGGACCTTGGAGGCAGCAGAAGAGGTCTGAGTCAGTTTGATTTATAAACCATGGGAGAAATGGAATCCAGACGTAGCTCCAGGTTTTATTTAATACCTGTGCTTCGCTGGGGCGCCTCGTGCTTCAACGTATCTTGTTTTATTATATCCACCAGGTTTAGTCTGCGCCATCCTGCTTTCAAAAAGAAAAAAAAACTGTATTTGCTGTATACCACTGGGAATGGGGCTGGACAGGACAGGACTCTTGGTGAATTTTGAGTTTAAGCACAGCAGCACATTTTTTTGGGAGCTTTCACTTCGGCGGTGGTCTTGGCGGTGGTCTCTAGCCCTGGGCCCTGGTGATGTATCACCCAGCTCATATTCGATGGTGTTCAGGTGTTTTGACTGTGATTGACAGGCAACACTCCCTTACCCAGACAGCATTTGGAGCACGACATCCGGATGCCATTGAGAGATCAATCACTCTAGTTCTCCTACACAAGTGGCTGCTTTTACTGTCAGTGTAAAACAGCTGGTCCCGCTCCTCTGGAAACAGGTGATATGAAACAGGTGATTTAGGCTGATATAAAAAGCAAACTGGGTAATAGATCTCCAGAATGGAGGCTGGAGACCACTGTACTAGAGCCTGTCTCTTGGTTCCCAGTGAATGGTGTGCGATTTGACTTGTGTGTCTGAAGGGACAGCACACTGAACAGGAGAGAGCTGGAGAAGACGACACCTCTCGGTAGATGGGCGGCAGTGTAGCGTGGTCGCAAGGAGCAGAGCTCGTAACTGAAAGGTCACCGGTTCAATTCCCCCCCGGGGCACTGCTGCTGTACCCTTAGGCGAGGTACTTAACCCAGAGCTGCCTCAGTAAATATCCAGCTGTAGAAATGGATAACGTGTAAAAACTGTAACCTATGTGAGTTGCTCTGGATAAAAGCATCTGCTAAATGCTGGAAATGGGATGTAATGCCTTTCTCCAGCAGTTGGTCAGCACTAAGTGATGTGTAAGAGGACCTGTGAAATCCGAGAAACAAACGGTCTCCTACAGCGTTAACCTGCGTTTTCAGAGGGTTTGACCAATCGCCCGTGTTCTCGCTGTCGTGTGCGGCCCGCCCCGCCGTGTCCCAGCCTTTCTGCAGAGGCCCCTGTCAGAGCTGGCCCGTCTGTGCCAGACCGCCGCATTAGGAGCGCGCGCATCCGCCCGACCAATGCCTGCGCGGCGTGGCTCTCCAGCTCGCTTCATTTAACGCTCTTGTTCAGGACCCCACAGACCCAGGCAGCTCCACAATGGCAGTGACCCAGGCCGCCTGATTGAGGAGGCAGGAAAAATAAATCGACCGCATCCGAGAATCAACCCGCCCAATCAGAAGACAAAGCGGCACTGATGGGCGAATTAGGCCCCCACGCGTTCCGTCTCCGACCAATCAAGAACCAAAGACGAAGAAAATCCTGGAACTCAGGGCCGGCCCTGTTGCACGTCGATATATAGCTCTGGCCCTTTCGGGTTTCATGCAACCTGTTTCATGAATGTATGAATTTTAATATATTAATTTTCATGGATCTTAATTATTCATTTGCACAGCAGATGCCTGCTAAGAAAATGCACCATACATTCCACCTCCCGACCAATCAGGATTCAAAGACGGTGAAAATTCTGAAACACACCTCTGGCTCTTGCGTTACGCAGTACCCATTTCAAGGATATATGAATTACTAATATTTTAATTATTCATTTGCTTGGCAGATGTTTATCCAGAGTACCCTTTTTTAAGCAGCTGGCTTTTTTTTTTTTTTTACAGAAGCTATTTCGGTAAAGTATTTCTGCTTAGTGGTGCACCGGCTGTACCCAAACCTGTACATTTAAGATGCAAACCTCTGGTTACAAACCCAGCGCCTTTGCCAGTCTTCCACAATCCTGCTCCAGTAGCAGATTTATTCCGTGTGTGCTGTCATAAGTAATTACAGCCAAGCTGCGGCAAGCGAACTAAGGAAAGGGATCAGGGTGTCAACACAAATTCTCACGGTGTGGCAGTGCATACGGCGTCAGCGCTCTGCCAGGCTCTCACCTCTTTCAAAGAATGTCATCAAGGCACAGGCGGGGCTCATACATCATCAATTTGCGAGCGTGCGGCGCAAAGGCGGTGTTCATTACCGGCTCATTATTACAAATAAAATGGGGGTGGGGGCGCAACACAGAGGAGAGGAATCTCTCCTGTGTCACGAAGGAGCAGCAGAAGGGGAACGCTTCCGCCTGTAGCGAATAAAAGCAAGAACGGTGTAGCGGACGCTTCAGTGTAGGGCAGCCGGCAAGATGACACAGAGGTGTGGTAAGAGGTGTACAGCCATGCCGTTCTCTGGCGACGCTGAAGCCACTCAAAGGGACACCCGCCTCTGGACATCTGTCACAGAAAAACACACCACCTTCCACGTGCGGTGGCAGCTTGTCAAGAGGTGTAAAGCTCTCAGGAGTCGAGCTGAAATGTTTACAATGGGCTGCTTCCTTCCAGCACTTCCTGCCTCTGTGGGCAGGTGTCTGCTGCGTTTAGCCTGCTATGTTTTATGACAGTTTGTGGTGCAGTGGCGGACAGCCTGCTCCCTCTGCAAAGCCATAAAATTCTGTTGTCCAGGGAGGCAGCCGCGCATTGATTCAGCTCCATTGGAGGGGCACTCTCAGGAAAGGGAGGACATGCTTAATATTCCCGAAATTCAAACACACACCAACACACCAAATATCCATGTTCAAATTTTTTTATTAGCTTTTATTAACTTTTCACACAATGATGTCAGATATAAAGCTTGATCATTTGCACCTTTGCATTTTTTTTTTTTTGAAGCAACCATGAGAGAGAAAAAGCAACCATTTTGAAAAGGTTAGAAGAAGTAGCAGGCCCCACATGCAGCTGGACCATCAGGGGAAACTAATCAAACTCAGAGCGAGAAGAACTCCACGAGCTGAGAGCTCTCATTCCACTGACCAGACCAAACCAAACAGCACAACCTCTGGGCGCTCTCCTTTGCCTACCACTTTTTAAGTCCCACTTGAAAAAACTGAGGAAATCACAGCGTGGCAAAACAGGACACTCAGCTGATAATAAAAAAAACACGATTCCCACTCAACCATGCTCAAGATTCTGTGCCGCTGGTCACTCATGACTTCTTCCATTTCATTTTAATTGCAAAATCAAATTTGGTAGTAGCTCACAGGGTAATTGATTCAGGGGTGTGTTCAATAGGCAAACAGTCTGGATTTATGTTTCAATGTTCTTGATTTAACTTTGTTGTGATCACGCTAATGTGGTCTGTGGAAAGGAGGAGGGCTGGCTACCGATACTGTACCCAGACCTCCCCTCTCTCCCCTCTCCTCAGAGCTCTAGCACTGATAAAACTGACCCCTGATCAGCTACGCAACACAGCCAGGATGGCGGGGCACTACCGAGGCCACCTCGCGAACAGATATTCTCATGTTTCCGAACACTTTTACTGGTATTGTGTCTATCGTCAAACCTACGGCGTTACAGTACTTACTCTCAAGTTATAAAAACACTATTGCATCACTCGTGCCTGTCTTTCCTTCCCTCCAATTTGCAAGAAGACTGGTCACAGAATTTTGAAAGTCAGCAGACAGGTAAGCGCTAATTTCATACAAGTTTATTTTCCAGTCTGTATGAAAGTTTTTTTTTTTTCTTGAAGCATGGAATTCATGGTCCTGGCATGTGCCACAGTCCCTCAGTGTTTGGTCCTTAAGGGAGGCATGATTGATCCACTTAATGACTAAGAAAAGAAGAGGCAAGAAGAACCCCCCCCCCCCTCCCCTCAAAAAAAAAAAAAAAAAAAAAAAAAAACCAAATCTGGGAAAAGCCCAACAGCAAACAAACCCCACAGACAGGCGAAGCGGGGGGGGGGTGGGGACAGACGGTGGGGATGGGGGAAGGCGTCCGTCCGTCTCGTCTGTCCGGCGACCGGTGCGTCCGTCTGTCTGCCGGCCCTTTCCCCGGCCTCTCACTTCAGCAGCGCCTTGATGGCCTCGCTCTCCGCCGCCTCGAAAGCGCTCAGTCCGTCCGGTCCTTTCCGCTCCTTGTCAGCTCCCTGCAGCCAACGACAGACAAGCACCCTGACACCTCTGTTCCCGATCAACGCAGCAGGAAACGGAGGCAGAGTCTGCTTCTTAAAGTGCAGGGGGCGGCAGAGTGGCAGAGTGGTAAGGAGCAGGGCTTGTGACTGAGAGGTTGCTGGTTCAATTCCCCTGCTCCTGTGCCATTGAGGTACTTAAGGTACTTAAGGTACTTAACCCCCAACTGCCTCAGTAAATAGCCAGCTGTATAAATAGGTAACATGTAAAAACTGTAACCTATGTAGCTTAAGCTATGTTGCTCTGTCTGCTAAATGACTGTAATGTAATGTAAAGTTATGTTAAAGAACAGGCTGTCTCACTGAAACGCCCACCCGAGTCTTTTCACTGAAACTGTAGAAATTCATCACGGCGCTGGCCAAGCTGAAGCGGAAGAGCCTGCTTGTCCCAGCCCCGCTCCCCTCTGAGGGCTTCCTGAAGGCTGGACCTCCTCAGACCACAGGCTCCTGCAGGAGGGGGCCAGTCACTGCTCCGCCATCTCAATTCGGCTTCACCAGGCAGAGCAGAGCCGCCCGCTCCCAGTCACACAGACCGCCTCTGGGAACAAACACCAACGCGCATAATGATGGCGCCCCAGCGAAGGCCATTAACAGCCCAAACCCGAGGCCCGTCTGCCGCTTTTAATTTCCCAACAAGCACCAAGTTCATACAGACATCTTCATAACTGTATACAAGACTAATTTTTTTTTTCTCCCCAAGTTATTCGAATGCCATCTCTCATCCAAAAGGCACTTTGTGGCCCAACACTTAATTATGCCATACCCCAATTTGCTCCTGTTGAATTCACTCCAATCACAAAATAATGTTGTGGAGAGTGGAGGTGAACTCAATTAAATTAAGAGCTGCGCTTCTAAGCACAGTGACAGGCTTGTATGCTTCTGGGCTTGTAAGCACCACGGGACCGGAGTTCTCACTGAGAAACAAGGCAGGCCTTAAAGGTGCACCCAATCAAAATGGCCGAGGCAGAGCAGATTTAAGTCAACCGAGTAAAAACAGGAGAAGCGAGAGGACCAATCCCTAGAAAGATTCGCCTTTTTGTCTGTTCTGCCAGCTTTAACTTCTTAGCCACAGATTACTGAGGGGGGATGGGGGGGAGGCAGAAAGTTGCCGTTGTTGCGTGGAAAAGCAGGCAGCTGTGAAGAAAGGTTTGACCCACTTTTGGTGCCAGTGTAAGCATGCCCACGGTGCCCAGCCATGCGAGGACCTGAGGAGAAGGATTACCGGGGGGTGGGGTGGGGGTGCTGGTGGCATTCAGAAATACCCTCCCCAAAAACAACCTTAACTGGGAAGTAGGAGGAAAAGTAAAAATCAAATCAAATCAAATCATTTATCCTTTGCAGCGGGTACGAACCATGACTCACTGTAAGCCACGGTGTTAACACAAGTTCTGAAGTGACAGAATGCGATTATCTCCGGGAGAATGTTTGGAAGCGGGATTGCGTGTTCGGCGGATTATGGATCACCCGCACGGTTGCGGAATCAGCCGGGACGGAAATCCTCTGTGGGAGGGTTCAGCGGCAACCCTCTATCAAACCTCAGATCGGAACCCACAACATTCTGGATTTGGGTGTACAGCTTTCTCCTGAATGGGGGGGAAAAAACCCTCACAATTCCTCTTGACTGATGAATGCAGTTTGTTACTGTTGGTTTGCTAACATCCCGCTTTGTATTAGGCACAATCGGAAAAACAACGGTCTGTGCAGCTCGAGGGGAGTCATTAGTACCCAGTCTCACCTCCACGCTCTCCGCAGAAGCCTCTCGCGCCTGCTGCCCAGGCCTCGTTTGCACCGCGGCCGACGGCGCGGCTTCACAAGCGTTTGCCTGGGCTGAATATTAACGCCCACGGAGCGGCCGGCCGCCAGGCTGCCGAGTGGCTCTCCTCTCCCCGCTCCGGATAACGAGCTTCCGCTGGCACCGTGGTTGTGGGTACCCTCAACCCCACGGGCTGCCGCTGGGGGAGACGGGGTCCCGAGGCCCGGCCCACCGTCCGCAGCACGCGGGCAGCCATTGGGCGGCCAAGACCCCCGCGTCCATTATTCACACGTTCATGTAGTCTTGCAGGGGCTAAGAACCGCAGCCCTGAGACACATCGCAACAATAAGCACATTCTCTTCAGTGCAAAGGGCCGGCCTGACCAGCGGGGTAAACTTCGAGCAGCTAAGAGATGCTATAAACAAAAAACACCCACCCCCTGGATGATCCGAAACCAACATCCAAGCAAACAAACAAACCAAAAAAAAAAAAAACAAATTAAACAAACCAGTAACACATACCTGCCTCGGGCACTTGGAGGGATATCCATTAAGCCTTCATTATGCCATTATTGACTGTAGAAGAGGGATTCACATGCATAATCTATCATCCGGGGAGTTGTGCCAGGACTAACAAACTGCTTATAAATGTGATGCTTACATAAGTCTATTGACCAACAGGCTGCGGCTAAGCACTCATGAGCCGTAAGGGGACATATTTTACATTGAGTTATAAGGTATAAAGGGATCGATGTATATATTCAAGTATCTGTTCTGCGGCATTCAGAGGAATGTTGGAAGAGAGTGAGACAGGATGAAAACATCACGGGCTTGAGTGAACAGCTCTGAAGGAAGAGGCCTCTCAGAGAAATCATAGACAGCACAGAGTTCTTTCACAATATGTTGGTTTGAGGCTTCAGAAGCGTAAAGTGAACGCTGCCTGATGGTGCATACCTTGACACACAGAAGGTAACCCAGACAGGGAGAGGGGAAAGACAGGATTAGCCAATCCGTAGACAGGACTGTGGGGGGAACCTTTGATCTTGGGGAGTTGCAACAGTCTTGCAGCATTTCTTCAGAACACGCTCTGCATTACGGACCGCATGCTAATCTCCGAGTGCAAGAGGCTAAATTTAACAGAGAGGAAATGCTCCTCGGTCCAGTCCTACTACTTCCTTCCTGTCTCCCGAAGGGACACATTCTATCTGGCAAATCTTTCTGCTTCTCCTTCTCTCTCTTTCACACACACACACACCTCTCTTCACTACTTTCCCTTTTCCCTAAATCCAACAATGTACCAGTGAATTCCAGCACACAGGGACAGTCATATAACTAGTGGTATATTAGCAGTGAGCAGTCACCACTTTGTACTTCTCTCATGCTGAACAGCTGAAACTACACGATACTGAGCTTGGCTGTTAGCCCTCTTGGGAAAACCATACTGTTGCAGGAAGCAGGCTAGTGTTGATGAGCCAGTAGGAGCTCTCCAAATGAAATGCCATGACCCTCACTCTCTGTATCATTACAGGTCTCATGGGATTTATCAAAGAGCAGGAGCATTAACCCATGCGGTGCTGAAATTATGACCACAGAGTATATCCCAAATGTACTGGTTCTTGAATCCTTCCCCCGCACCTCCGTGACATAGGAAAAATGGCAAAGGAAGTAAGAGTCCTTCACCCACTCCCTCAGAAGAGCTTGTTTTGGACGCTTTTGACTGGATTACATGTGCTCAAGTAGCATTTCTGCTCCCTTGACTTCTGACACTGAGTTAATGTCACATACTCTCTGGCAGAAAAGACTACTGACAGAGAAACACGGGGCGTCAGCTCCAACAGAGTGGGCTGGGATTTTTTGCCCTCTCTGTCCTAATTTTACTCAACATTCCCAGTTATTATAATCAGTGTGGCCTGCTAGTGTAGTGAATTTGGTATATTACCATACAACTAACATGGAAGTGATCATTTTTTACATGTAAAGTTATATTATTTGTAGCAAATGTGTTGACATACTTGTTTACATATTAATTTATACTGACACATTTGCATAGCAACATGCAAGTATTTCTGGACTTACAGCACTACAGTTTGAGTACCTACAGATTTGGAGAATGTGTACCCTTCAAGAGCACACCAGATTAATACCTGTACTGCACAGGCTGCTTAGCCAGACTATGAAATCAAACTGCTGTTCCAGCACACTATGCTTCTGCCTTCTCTCAACTTTGGCTTCCACTCAGCCCTGCTATTGTCTCATCCCCCAGGTCAGAAGTTGTCTGAGCTGGTGGTGGTGGTGGTGGCTGAGCATGCAGATATGTTCCTCTAATTCCACAGGGTAATCTGATTTCACGTCATGATAATCTTCTGCCGAACGCGCTCGCGATTTCCATTTATTTCAGCCTTTCAGCCCCTACAGCAAACCGCGTGGCGTGTGAAGGTTAAACTTCTGTCAGTTAGCGCCGCGGCGCGCTCTCCCCTTTGTAACAGGAACCTGCCGCAGAGGCAGAAAGTCAAACTCCACAGCTGAACGGCCTTTTAATCATTCTCCAATGTTCGGAAAACACATTCTCTGAGAGGCAGGACAAGATGTCCTACAAAACATGTCTGCGAGTCGGCTTAAACGGTTCTGTGGCCAAGTGACCTACACGTTTACAAATATACCTCTGAATTTCTCTGAAGTCTGTAGGGCTTTGTAACGTATAGGTTGCTGGGTGTTGAGAGCTCAGCAACGACAGGCATCTGCAATCACAACGGGAAGCTGCGGGTTCAAATCCATGCATAGCCGCTGTGCCCTTGAGCTGCGCTTTCACCCAGAGTGCCCCTGAAAAGAGCCAGCTGAGCTGACGGCTCAGAAGCAGGTGAGCTGACCGGTATGAGAACCACGCAGCCTGGTGAATAATGAGTCCTCATTTAAAATGAACAAGGCCGGTCTCCGCTGGAATCCTATAGCGGAGTTTGACTACAGCGCCGAGCTGCACTGCGGACACCCCCCAGGACCATACCCACGCACCCCTACCACGCCGCAGCAGCCACACGCAGGTTAAACATTACATTAATAATTCAGATCGAGCCAGCGCGCCGCTAACTAACATCTCACCCAGCGGACAGGGAGCACTTCAATAAGGTCAACTCCCATGATGCCCCTTTGCCCTGCAAGTTCAGGTCAAAGGGCACGACCTCTATGCAGAATTCATGGCCCCCCAAAGGCTGCACTCTCTGATCTGATAAAGTGAGCGTTATGGCTTTTATCATCCTGAGGGGTTATCGGTAACTACCTCTGGAGCTGGCGGTAACGCTCTGCTCTTGTGGGTAGCCATGACAGCCTTGAGTTATGACTTGAGAGGGGAGGAGGGGAATTTGTGTTACCCCAGTGGTAAA